TCGGTCTCTGTGGGCCTTTAGCCTCCTCAGCAGGCAACTCTGTAGAGACTGGAGTGTATTTTTAAACGTTTTGGGTCAAAACACCTCCCCTAACAATTGCTCATGAGCAATTTCAGGTAGATTTCCAGTAGATTTTTAGGTAAATTCAGGTAGATTTTCAGTAGATTTTTAGGTTAGTTCAGGTAATTTTCAGGGCATAAGAAAGTGAATTGGGAAAAATAACTATATCTGTGGAAATTTTTTTTTGTATTTTCGTAAAAATTAAGATATGTCTGGAAAATTTTTTTGTATGTTCTGAAAAATTATGATATGACGATATGTCCGGAAAATTTTTTGGTATGTCCGGAAAAACTGAAATGTTCTCGGCATGCATGCGTCGCAAAATCAGGTAAAACCGTTAAGTTGGATAAATTCAGGTAAATCTAACATCCCCTCCCCCAAAGTCCTCGCAACGGCCCTGCATCCATGCTCCCGTACCCCTCCCAATTTCACTACCTTGGCGTCGCCACTGTCAAAGTGGATGGACGAGAGGGAGGTTTTCAAGCTGGCGGCTATTTTTCAAGATCGTTAAAACGCGAAAGAATGAACAACCAGGGGCGGTGGAACGGATTTCAGTTTGGGGGGGGCTAAATTTTTTTTCGTGACCCCCCCCCCGTTGCCAAAAAAATTTCGGTCAGTGTACCATTTTAGGGGTAGAAAAATGTTTCCGGACATATACAAGAAAAGGGATGAAAAAAATTTTTCCGGACCTATAACAAAAATTTTTTCCGGACATACTCGATTTTTACACAAAATATCCCAAACTTCTCCCCTTATACCTAAATTTTCCAAAAATAACCTACATTTTTCCTTAATTATCAAAATTTTTCCAGAGAAAACAAAATTTTCTGGGGGGGCTAAGCCCCCCACTTTTACTTCTGGAGGGGCTTTAGCCCCCTAGCCCCCCTGTTCCGCCGCCACTGTGAACAACCATGCACTTATAACAATCAGAACTTCACTCTTAACCTACAGTAAACCTAACCCCAACTCCAACATTAACCCTAAACTAAATGTTGAACCATCTTGAAAACCGCCCTCTCGTCCATCCCTTTTCGTCATTACCATCGTTTCACAAATCATTTTCAAATATTCAAAGCGATTTGGAGGGACTGCAAAAGTCGGAAATGACGCTTTTCCATTGTTTGTTCGCCAGGGAAACTGAAATATATTTGGCTGGGGTGGTGCGACAATTGGTTTGTTTTTCTAAGGGTCTGTGTGTATGTTTCCTGCGCTAGGCTGGATTGCTGGAAGGACGTTTTCAAGTCGCCTTGCCAGGAAACTAGGAATTTACGCGTGTTTAGTGGGCAAGTACATCCAGACTGAATGGGATGGAAGGGGGGTTGCATTAGGGTATACAAATCCGCCGATCCGCCCAAATTTGAAGCAAAATGTGAATCCGCTAAAAGCTCTACTATCGGAAGTCACAATCCAGGATCCGAACTAAATTGCAAGCAAAATTTAAATGTAATATTAACAGTTGATTCAGTACCTGAAAATAACTTAACAGTTGAGAGAAAAGTTGACTGTTTATATGATTTAACGCATAAAATCTACAACTCGCTCAACAAGCCGACTATCATAAACGCCGATTCAGAACAATTATACAAGTCCGATGTCCTAAACAACGATAATCAAACAGAAAACTCATCTCGCTCTGAATATTATGACTTGTCTATGGATCTGGAAGGCGTTAAACTCGATGTTGTAATTAATATCAATCTAAGCTTTCAAACAGTATCTCAATAAACCAAAAAGATACTAGCCAAAACACTGAATCGATCAATCAACTCAGAGACCAATTGTCTAATATGCAAAGCAGAATTGATGCATTAGAAGCCAAACTAGATAATCCCCTACCAAAGAAATTACCAACGAATGAGAATTCCCCGGAGAACAATGAGAGTAAGACTGCCTCGCCGCCAATACAACCTCCATTGAATCAGTTAAACAATGTCGAAATATCGATTATAAAACCCCCGGCCTTGGATGAAAATACAAATCAATCACGCGTTAATTTAAAAAGCAATCAAGATCAAAACGAGTGGTTGAACCCTGCGCTTGATCCCCTAGAACTAAATAAGACAGACAAAATTTCCCACATAAACAAATGTGAAATTAAGGAAGCGACTAACATTCAATACAATGATCAAGGCGAAGCTATTCGAGATGCCGATCGTTCTTCTGAACAAAGCGTCATACGCAGAATTAAACCTAAACCTAACACCAAATACAAAGGCCATAAAACATCATTGAATACAAATAATAGTCTAAAACAAGTGGCAAACGGCACAACAGACGTCACACACTGCGACACTAATAACAGGATAGAACATAGCAATCAGGATCAAAGCGAAAAGAAACATAAACACAGTCTACCTAGCAAACAACCACACGAATGGTTGAAATGGCTACCTTTGCTTGAACCCCCAGAACCAATTGAGATAGACGAATTTTCATACAGAAATGAAATTAAGGAAGCGACTAATGCTCAATTCAACGATCCAGACGAAACTAATTGGCATGTTGAGTGCTCTGAACCACCAAATTTCATCCAGTCTCTCTCTAGAACAAATACAAATAATTGCCTGCGGCCAAACCTGATAAATTTTCGGCAACATCGCTCGAACCGTCGCCCTCCGGACTGGCTCAAATATTTGGACCTAGTCAACCAAATAACCAGAACCAGTACGTAATACCCAGGGGCGGATTTAGACCGTTGCAACTGTAGCATATGCTACGGTCAGATTTTCCATAGGCCAGTTCTAACATGGATCATAAAATCAATCTAAAATATAATTTAGCAATATTTTGTTTACTTTCCTTGTTTATATTTCAAGGTTTTATTTTATTTAGTTTTATATGTTCTAAAACATTTTATTTTGACAAATTGATGACATTTATAATACGTAACGTTAATTGTTTTAAGAATTCCCGCCCGAAAATACGGTTGTAATTGCCCGTTTGCGGGTCATTACGCAATGGACTATAGCTTAGAAAATATCATCCTTCAGAAATACACCGTAGCGTGTTGCCCATATATGATCAATTTTCGCTACGGTCAGATTCATTAAGGTCGAATCTGACCGTAGCGAAAATTGGCATATACGGCATTCTGATTGGTTTGCTACGGTCAAACGTAGCAAACCAATCGGAATGGGGCAAATGCTATAGTTTGCTACGGTGGCATGAAATTGGCTACTGCTCCAGAACGATGGAATATCGGATATTTGTGTTTGGCTCATCAACAACATGCTATTGGGAACCCACAGTACGGTTGTGCGCATTTCGAAATGAAAGCCGTCGTAAAGCTAAAGGATTTATATGCGTCGAGGTAGAAATAAAGTCAGATAGTAAAACGAATCATTTCCAGTCAGGTAAGCCTTATGAATGATAAGAGATGCACATTATATTTTAATTTGAGTTTTTACTGTATAGTGTTCGCTATTAACTTCGCTTTATTAAAGTGTTTGCGCGCGTATGTACAGTGTACCTGCATGTATTGAAATTAATACGCGAATTATGATACGCGCGTATATATATCGTGTTTTATAGCGCGCTAATATTTGTTTGTAATGCGTATATATTCGTAAGATACGCGTATTCATATCATAATACGCGCGTTCATATGATATGCGTATTCGTATGATACACGCGTTCGTAGATGATACGCGCATTTCGGTATTCAATTGATAATGATATGCGTATGATACGAGTATCATACCGATATCGTATGTTAAAATATACGCGAGCAATAGTTTACATTTTGAGATCATTTCGGCTTATTTTTGCTTGAGAAATGAATACAATGAGGGCAAATTTAATGGTCACATGCAGTGCTCAGAACGCAGGAAATGGCATTTCCGGGCTTCAAATTTCAAAAATTTTCCGGGGGGGGCATGCCCCAGGACCCCCCTAGCTATGCGAGGTCTTGGAAAATGCTACGGTCAGATTTTTGGCTGGATCCGCCCCTGATACCTGACTTGGCATATACATCTTTTGGTCCAATTTCTAATCGTTTGAATAATGAGTCTGAAACCATCCCGGTTAGAATAACCAACCGTCGACTAGTACAGAGGTCTACTAACCAAAAACTCAGTCGTAACTTAATACTTATTCCAATAAGGAAAAACAATATATGTGAATCATCAATTGCCTATTCAGTTCCATCTATACTCTTAACCAACGCATGTCATGTAACGAACAAAATAACTGAACTCTCTGGAATTGCCGCAGTCAATAACCCCTCCTTGATCATAATCACAGAGTCTTGGCTGAACTCAAACATCCCGGATGCTGCTGTGGAAATAAGCAATAAATTCAATGCACATCGTCGTGATCGTCCCACGCCTGGTGGTGGTGTCTTAGCCTACGTGAATAACAAAATACCAACTACCCGCCTAAGAAATCTTGAAGAGGATGGGAAAGAAGTCCTATGGCTCTTACTTAAACCGCCCAGAACCCCCAGGCCCTATAGTGCGATGATAGTTATTGGTGTGTACTACCCACCTGGACAGACAATTGAAGATGAAAGAGCAATGTACGAGTATGTTACTAACGGACTTGACAACATTTTGCAGGACCACCCTTCAGCTGGCGTAATTATCGCCGGAGATTTCAACAAAATGAGACTGAACCCACTATGTAGACGTTTCAACCTTAAAAAAACCGTACGGGCTCCTACAAGAGGTAGAAATATTCTAGACCAAATCCTTACCAATATGCCAGAGCTATACAATGATGTTCAACATCTGCCACCGATCGGCCGTTCCGACCACCAGTGCTTACTGCTCACCCCAAAGTTGAAACAAAAGGTTAAACCGGTCTCCCGAAAAGTGCGCCTGACGAAATGTAGTAACCTAATCGAACTGGGCATACATATGAATAGAGAGAACTGGGAAACAGTCTACGATGCCAGAGAGGTTGACGACAAAGTAAGTGCGTTCACTTGTACTATCGTGCGCATGCTTGATAAATCGCTGCCTAAGCGCACTGTACGTGCCCACCCCTCCGACAAGCCGTGGATGACACCGCGTATAAAGCATGAAATAAAAGCTAGGCAAAAGGCGTTTAAATCTGGAGATATAACAAGGTACAAACTATTATGTGACAAAGTTACCTCACTTGTATCAAATGCGAAAAAGAATTACTATCAACTAAAAGCAGAGGGTACACGCGAAACGAATCCGGCAAAGTGGTACAAAACCATATTTGATCTTGCTGCCGCTAATGACTGTAACTCTCAACCACCAGCTGATGCAGCAGACTTAGCGGAACGCCTGCAACAAAGCTTCACCAAACCATGGCAGAATGCCAACCCCACTGAAATTCCGGACGTTGGGGAAATTGAACACCTACTTAAGAATGATACCAGTCCCCCGTTGCCTTCCATCGGACAAATTAAGGCTATCCTTAAACATCTAAATCCCAGGAAGGCCACTGGCTCAGATGATATCCCTCCATGGTTACTGAAACGTTACCATGAAGAACTTGCCCCTGTTATTCATAACATCATATGCTCTAGCATCTCCCAGGCTAAATACCCAACCCTATATAAACACGCATTGGTCACCCCAGTGCCTAAAATATACCCTCCTAATGACATGGATAATGATTTTCGCCAAATCTCAGTATTACCGCAATTGGCTAAAGTCTTAGAAAGCATCCAACTTAAATTAAACAAAGGGGACCTTAAGATCAAGGACAATCAACATGCATTTACACACGGTAGATCAACTGTATCTGCACTGGCGAGCATCACCCAAAATTGGTTCAACAAGACTGAAAACTCACGTGATGGAAGAATGGGTATCCACGCCCTATTTATTGACTTTTGCAAAGCATTTGATCTGGTGGACCACGGATTGCTTTTAAAGAAGCTCGCCAAAATGAACGTGTCGAAAAGCTTCTGGCTATGGACACGGTGCTTTCTAGAAGGGAAGAGTCAGCAAGTAAAATTACAAGGTGCTCAACTGTCATCTATAAGGCCTTGCCCTTCCGGAGTCCCCCAGGGATCTGTTATATCACCAACATTGTTTAATGTTCATGTGGATGACCTCGAAGACTGCATTCCCAATTATCTGGACATCAATACGCACAAATACGCAGATGACTGCACTCAAGATGAAGTGATTCCATACGGTTCTACTAGCAACATGCAAAAGGTGCTCGATGCAATAAACGACTGGGCACATAGAAACAAGATGAAACTTAACACGAAAAAGACGAAAGACATGTGGATCTGCTTTAAAGCTGCAATTCCGGAACCACCACATCTTAAAATTGGCGATGATACAATTGAAAGAGTAAAGTCATTCAAGTTGCTAGGTCTTTGGATTGACAATACCCTTAAATGGAACACCCACATTGACGAAATTGCAAGGAGGGCAAACAAACGCTTATTCTACCTACGAGAGTGTCGTCGAGCAGATCTACCAACTAATGTGGGTTTGACGTGCTATGAATCCAAATTAAGACCGGTTTTGGAATATGCTGCCCCAGTTTGGGGTGGCCTGCCACAATACCTTACTGACGAACTGGAAAGTATCCAGAATAGAAGCCTGAAAATTTTGGGTCTACCTCCTGATTCTCTTCAATCTCTAGAACAACGTCGGGATAAACTTTCAATTCGCGAGTACGAGAAAATCATTAATGACGAAACACACCCATGCAGGAAGTACATACCAGACATGGTGACGAACATGTATGACCTGAGAACACCAAAAACTCTTCCCGGAATTTTCTCATACACTAAAAGGCATGAACTATCGTTCATTCCCAGAACAAACTCATTATTATAGACAATATTTTTATAACTATTCCTACAATTTTTATCTGTACATATAACTACTACTTAGATTTTTACTGTAAATCTATTGTATTTTTACACTAAAGATGGATCAATAAAACTACTATTATTATTATTATAAATCCACAACCCGAGCTAAAATATTAGATAAATCCGCAATCCGCTGTATTAATAAGATCCGCAAATCCGTGTAAAATATTCGCCAGATCCGAAATCCGAACATTTTTTCCGTGAAATCCGACGATCCGAAAACCTATTCACCCCCTCCCCCCCCCCCATGGAGTGCTTATATGGCGATTACTGGGAGGGACCCCGGCAACAGATGCCTTTTACATTACAACCGGGATCTTGGCAAACGTGTCGTCTCGGCTAGTCGGTGTCATATAAGCAGGCCTAACACTCTATAACTGAGCCGTATGAGGTCAAGTCGGTTCGATCAGCCGATTTCCGAACTGATTAATATTGACCATAGTATCTTGGATCTCAGTATACCATAATTCACCCAAATTCTAATCCAACAACGATTTTATAACTAACATGCATGCGTTGAAATTGAAATCAATTTTTGCAAGTTGTAGTGACTTTATCGCCCATGAATTTCACCTGTATACCGACCTGTGGAAAAAAATTAAGACGACAAACTGGATGGAATGTATATATTGTCACAATTCACAAGATAATAATCATAATTGCACGGCAATTGCACAGTTATGTGAGTCTGGACACTGACATGTTTTCAATGAAATCAAATGTCATTGCTACACATACAGTACTTTGCATACAATGTTTAAAATATAGTCAACAGTCACTGTATGGAAATCTATTTATTGGAAGGAATGATTGAGACAGGACATTCTGAATGATGAAGCACATAATCACTAACACTGCCAAGTACTGTACGACGCAAGGTACCCAGACCACGTGTTCCCATCAGAATCATGTCAACATTGTGTTCCTTCGCATATTTACAGATTGCTTCCCCTGGTTTATTGCAATTCTCTGAAACTGCTTTGTGTTTGACCTATAGGTAGAAAGAAATTGGATCAGTTTAAATATACTCTTATACAATCTCGAACGGCTGGAGGCATGCAGTGTAGATTGCAAGATTAAAAAAGTGCACTGTATAAAATTCAACTTTTCTAAAAATTACTTAATGTAAAAGAACTTCGACGTTTCGAAGGAAGGCCCTTCACAAGTGAACCCCCTCCTCTCCTTGGGTGATTTTCCAGCAAGGGCGTCAATCTGTCCCAAAAAGTGGGGGGGGGGGGGCGGACTCCAAACTAGGAAGGTCCGGAGGTATGCTACCCAAAAATTTTTCTAAATTTTGGTACACTGAAACGGCATTCCCAGCCATTTGGAGGTACCTATAAAGTTATATTACAATGTGTATGATCTTAAATCCATGTTTAATCATGTGAAAAATCCGCTAAAAACCAACATGTCCTAGCCTGTGAACAGACGTTACTCTTGACGAGGCCTACATGTCCTCACCCTTATTTTAATGCTAATAATCTATTAAATTAACCATTTGCCTTATTTTGATGATAATCATCTATGTAAGGGAATCTCAGTTAAAACGCAATTATTTTTAAGTATTTACAATTTTGCATAACATATGCGATGTCAGTATTTTCTGCCAGCGACTACAGAAAGATCATACGTTGTACTTCTTTTTAAATGTCTTCCTTTCAATCACATTTTTTTATGAATAGCATACCATGCATTACGTTTTTAGATAATCAAGAAGCAAAATTTCATTAAACATGTCAAAAAGTGTGTGTGTGTGTGTGGGGGG